GTGTTGCACACGTGTGGTCACCCTGTAGCAACATGTTGCAAGATGTTGGATCTAGTTTGAAAATGTTGCAAGACGTTGCGCACATTTGGCCAGCTCCTTTATAACATCTTACAACGCGATCCAACAATATTGCAAGATTTTGAAATGTTGCGTGCGTTTGGCCGCGCCTTTAAGAGCAAGTTTTTATATTTATGTGTCACGGTCTGCGTACATCTCTTGCCACAGAAGTTTTCAGCTCACTGACATTTGAAAGTAATATTACTGGCTATCGTTATAAACGCTCTTTGTGAATTGGCGTATTTGTTGTTAAATCGTATCATGAATTACTATTAAGCATCATGGAATTTGATAAATTGATAAATAATTGTGATCATTGTGTATTATATTTTTGTTTTTTCGTTTGTTTTCTGATCGCCATTTTCGCCATTGTTTTCTTTTCGTCATCATCCTCGTTATGAACATCATCATGAATTGTCACTGTGACGTCACAAACCAAACAATAAGAGTTATGGAGCATTATGGAAGAGAAGAAAGGCGTCTTTACAATCAAGAGAAAACAAAGGCTCGCTGGTGGTCCATTAATTTTTTCTTAGGCTTAAATGTATAAAATATGAAATAAGAAGTAAAAACAGTAGAGAGTAATACAAGAGCAGAAGAACGTAAATTCACCTTTCACTGTGTCACTACAATCAACCAACTCTGCCTGTCCCGTGAAACTGCTATCCAACCAGTGCCTGTTGCTGATGTTGTATTTGCCTTCACTCGCCTCTATTTCCCGGCAAGATATCGCTGGTAATTCAGGAATGGAACCCAAGGGAACTGAAAAATTAAGAGTGTCTTTGATAAGCAATTTCGTTGCTGTGGTTCGCTCCATGTCATCTCAAAAAAGTCTGAGCATTTTTGTGATTGCATCTTTATCATCATCATAAGAAGGGCGTTGGTACTGGCAGGTGATTCATCAAGACACCGAAGTAAACTAACTGTCAGAAACCATTAAAACTGATCACATACCTCTGTCTACGGAACGTCGCTTATAAAATCGTTCAGGGTCAGGACGGAAATTCAGGGGCCTCGCCTCCTTGGTACGGTTATTCAATTCGCAAATTCTCTCCCCTACGACGTAGTTATAGCTTTGACATGTGATTTCTCTTTCGCAATGGACTTCACACTGATGTGGGGCTGTTGCTGACATTATTTTGAAGACAAAACCATCAAGAGCCATACCAGGAATACTGATTTCTGTCCGGCATTGAGCACCAGCCATAACGAGGGCGGTAAAAGATGCCAAAAGATGTAAAATACAATATATCCAAGTCATGTTACCTGTGTTTTGAAATTAAACGTATCTTAGTTAAGCTCATAGTAGGAATAAATTAGTTGCAAAACCAGAGGAAATTATCGTGCACGCGAGCAAAAACCTATGCACGCACGAGCGAAGAGTCACGCGTATACGATCAAACAGTCATGCGTACCCGGAGCAGAAAGTCACGTGCACTCGAGCGAAAGATACCGTGCACACGAGCAGAAGGTCTCGCCCAAACGAGCGAAAGTCATGCGTTCACGAGAGAGAAAGAGATTAAAATGACAGCTGTTCTTTCGCACCGTCAGATATTCATCAAGAATATTCGATAATAAATTATACATCAAGAGAAAGATGCTACCAAGTTCTGGTTTCTTTTCAATCAAGAATAATGCTGCGAGAGTATTATTCAATTCCATCCGATCACACAAGTAAATATAAACCAAGAAGTAGAGTACTTGCTTTCATTGACGCGTTTTAAGTTTCGATGTCACTAGCATTAGCCTTATGTTGACCTGTATACAGTCGATAGATTTCAAGTAAATTGGTCACCATTGTCTGATAAATTCTCCTTCTCTTTTTCGACGAAAGTGGAAGGAAAATAATTGAAATTTGTGTAAGATCAGTTCGCGGGTCAATTCTGGGCGGGAAAAAAGACGAAGTTAGGAAGAGGTGCCCGTTTATTTAGCGCTCAACAAACTGATAAAGAACGAAAAGATCTCGAGTAATATGCTACGTGTATGTATGGGAGTGTTTTTTTGGTCTTTCATGACGAAATCTGGTAGTAAAATATTAAAAGAGAATAGACTCGGATAGCAACCGAAGTTGAAAATCTTTTTACATAACAGTGAAAAAAATAACATTTCTGGCCAAAAACATTGATCGACCCTTTATATTTAGGACAACGGCCACATTCTAAAAATCCTATTCAAATAAAGGAAATTTCTCTTAAGTCTAAATTATCAAACATAACAGAATTGTGATTAATATTGTTAATCCTTAGCAAATTTGTGGTGAAATTGCAACCCAAAATGTTCCTCACCTTCCAAGATGTCAGAAAACTGTTTTCAGTCCTTCATAGCCTATTTAGCCAATTCTACGCGTAGCTTTCTAAGGAGCTTTCGTTGTATCTTTTGCTGACTGATTGCAGTTATAGCTTCCTCGCAAACAGATGGAAAAACAAGTTGTTTTTTCTCTTGTTTACATTTCACCCCAGTCGGCTTTTGGTATTTATTTCCTTTTTTTAACCACTAGAATATTAACTGCATTCTCATTTCTTTGAATAGCCGGAGAGTTTTTCATTTCCGTACCTTTGATCTCCTGCATAAATAGCAGTCTAGAAATTACTAACAATAGAAGGCAGGTTTTTAAAAGTAGACACTAATTTTAGATAAACATTCCCTACAGGTTCTGCTAGGAAATCAGAAGTATATTTATGAGGTAATTTCATGTGCAACCAATGAGGCGAAGCTGCTCCTAAAGTATTCATGTTGTTGAGACTTACAGAAAGCATTCGAAACCCTCGTATAACCCCCAAAGCTATCAGAGAGTACTTCTGTTTTCTAAACAAGCTTCATTCCGCAGAATAACATTTTCAACATCCCACCTCGTTGATTGTTTTTAAAATTTCCGAGAATCTTTTTATTTTCATGTGAAGACAGAGAGTGCCTAATGAAATTAAAACTTGCTGTAGCGAACAAAAAGCTCTATCTTTCAAATTATTACGTATGTTGTCCTTCACAGTTACCCTTAACTACAGCGGCTCTATTTGTAGGCTATAGATTTCCCAAATCGAAAGCAATAACTTACTACATAGTATTCAGTAAAATATCACCTTTATTTATCTTAAACTGAAAGAATAGCTCTGATGTTTTAATCGAATTAGTTATATATTTCATTGTTCCCTTAATGCCGAACAGGTGTTCTTACATTGCATGACAAGGACGCCCTGATAAAATACCTCGCTACAAGAGCACCTAGACCGGTGAAGCACCCTAAAGGTCCCCTGAAGAAACTCAAATAAACAAAATTGAATATTAAGACGTCCATAAACTTTGCTTTCGTTTGTGATAGCCTCTCGAGTAAAAAAACATCAAAAAGGAATATTTTCTTATCCGTGACTCTCTCGGTCTCATTTCAATCGAATAATCGAATAAGCGAGCGAAAAAACACCCCGAAAGCGGCTCAATGCGCTTAATTTCCAGCGGATTCTAGCTCAGTGGAGAAATTTTCATTTGAATGTCGAGAGTAATCTGGAATGGTAATTTTCTATTTTCATTTGCTATGTCACTGATCTGGCAGAATCTAACTAAATTAATTATAGTTGATAACATATAACCTCCATATATCTGCAACTGGACGAATTGATCTGATGTTTTAATCGAAATAAAAATATTTATTTCATTGATCTCGAACAGGTGTTCTTGCATTGTGTAACAAGGGCGACCTCATAAAATACCTCGCTACAAGAGCACCTAGACCGGTGAAGCGGGGAATCCCATTCGACCATCCACTCTTGCACCCTGAGAGTCCAGATATTTCAATTAAAACAACTTCATTCGCTTTATAATGTTTATTTTCCTTTGTTATATATTATGTCTGCTGACGAGGAAAATTTTCCCATCGCAAAGCTAGCTCAGGAAGAAGAATGAAATATTTGTCATTTTCGTCCTTGCTGTTCCCTGTGTATGTGTGTAAACTGTTTCGTTTTCCTCGAAAAACATAAAGAAGGAATATTTCCCTATTCGTGACCTCATTCACACCAGCAAACAATGCTTGGTTAAACCGGGTTTTACTAAATGAAAATCATAAACAGAGAACTAAAGAGCTCTATTTTCCATAGGATTAAAGTACTCGCTAACTTAATTTTTTTTATGTGCAACAACTGAAGTCGACAAACATCGGTTTAAGTAGCTTCTATGTAGAAAACAATTCTCGATCTTGTTTAACAAAGCAGCTTCAAAACATGTTTAAGCCTTGTATTGGTCTCGGTTCAATCAAGTTAGCGGATAAGCGAATAAGCAAGCGAAATAACACCCCGAAGCGGTTCAATGCGCTTAGTTTCCCGCGGATTCTAACTCAGTGGAGAATTTTTCTTTTGAGTGTCGAGAGTAATCTGTAATCCGGTATTTTTCTATTTTGAGTTTCTATGTGACTGGTCTGGCAAAATCTCACACCACATTCTCAAGCAGTTACCAAGGAATTAAAACTATAATCACGAATAGAATATATTGTGGAAACAAGCAACATTCAAGATGGCGTTGGCACCTAGTACTTGTACTTCGAGTGATATATTAAAAAACCTGGCACCAGTCCCTTTCGTTCCAAACAATGATAACAAGTCTTCTGATTCACTTATGTTTGTTTTCTGATTATCTTCTGTTTGTTTTTTAAAACATAAGTAACTTCATTTATCGGAATACCCTGCGCCCCAAGAGTCATACTAACAGTTCATACTGACTCACCATGTGGTGTACCAGCATTTGAAACGCGTCTTTTCTGACCATACGACAACTAGGTTGGTTCTCAGTGCGAAGTAATTTTATTTCAGCATTTTCTTTGCTTTCTTAATAAGTGCGAAGGCTAAACTAGTTCCCAGTACCTCCTTCCCTAGTATAATTTCAACACGAGTGTAAACAAAATTTTTTGGAATGAATGAACTAAAAACTTTTAACATTACATACCATAAACCTTGTTCAAAATATTACAACGGCAGTAGAACACCCAGCAACTTATTCATATATTCCCGTTTTCGCCTCTAAAGTGAAGTGAGAACATGACTACTTCTAGCCACAGGCTGTTTGTTGTGTTAATTCTTATAATTAGATGTGAAAAAAACGGCCTTAGAACGAGTGAAAACAAGCTAAATGTGAGATCTTGATCGTCTTCCCTCAACAGTTTGTGTTCATTCGACTATCAGTGTCTATAAAATAGCAAACACTCTAATTATTTCAACGTAAAGTAATATCCAGCTCTGCTTCTTATGCAGTTTACTGTCATAGTGCTGTTGTGCTTAAAAGGTGATTTAACTGCACAAACTTATCGATTAATCGCAGGCTCAAGTCCTAGCCAGTCAAAGGCGCTAAAGGCAATTACGTGTTTATTCTGCTTCGAAGCCTTTGTTTGGGATGCCACGTGACATTCTGTCATGACATCACAAGCATCAGCTGGGAGAGGACCGCAACTTGTGTCGCCAATAACAACTTGGATTAGCCAGGACTCGATACAGAATTTTTATTCCAGAACACGAATATCAGAAATCTTGAACTTGAACATCCCACACTTGCCAAAGGTGGATATCCCGGCAATCGCCCCGCCGCTCTTTCGTCTTAGACTGACTCCGGCTACCGGAGTATTTGGTTGATTTACCATCCAAAAGTGTTCATCACCGCACAAAGCATTCACGCCATCGAAATGATTACCTTGAAAAGAACAGGGAGACAAATCTAATGTAGTACAACAGTGTTTAATCATCAGCATGCTTATTGTTATCATCAATATCTGAACTCTACACAGATGTTTTTCCTGTGTATATTAGCACAGTCTTACAGATCACACCACGATGATCTATTTTTGTCCAAAACAAATTGATGTAACGGTGAGACTTTGGAGCAAAGGAAACGTCGAGTGAGGTTCGGACCCAAGAGTCGTCAAATAATATAACTACAAGTGAAGCATTCGCCAAATACAAACTAGCCCTGTTATTGATAAGTTTTTCAGTGCCTTAACTCTGCTGTATTCCTTTCCTTGTAGAAGTGAGGAGAGAGGGCTTTAAACAGTTTGATATTATATATCACATGGTGAAGTTCCATCGTCACTTTTGAACAGTTTCATAATTTAAATCTGACAATTGAAGGAAAAAACTTACTATAGCAAATTATTTTAGGCCTATAAGGCACACCTCCTTAATTGACGTTACCAGTTAACTTTAAATCCCTTAAAAGGTTTTTAAGATGCGTTTATTACCATTTGGGTCAAGATATTCTTCTTTCCAAAGTTCATCGAAATCAAGGTCGAATTCCATAACATTGGGATTGAATATACCAGAGGCCCTGTGGTGATGAAATAATTAACCAAAGATTGTTACTTGGGCAAAAAGTTCTTTTGGCCGAAATAAAAAAGTCACTGCTTTGTTCAAGTAACGACACAGCCTGAAATTCTCCTGTTTTCCCGCGTTTGACATCAAAAACGTAAACTGCTTGTAATTGCTTTTTCTCAGGGCTTTAAAACACGTAAATTGAAGCCGTTCCAAATAAATGAGGTTGACAGCCAGAAAACCCAGTGACTTTCCAAAACTGCAAGTTCATGAAATACACAGATGTTTCCTCACTCAATATAAGAAAAAATAGTTCGAGGAGGGGTTGGGGAATGGAAAATTGAATTCGCGAAACAATTCCATGCACAGCGAGTTCCTTAGATAGAAAGAAAGTTGGCACACTGACCTTTCAAAGTCTTTTTCAAGGTTTATTAATGAATACCAAAGTATCCCCACCCTCCCCTTCCCGCGACTTTCCAGGTGGACGATACTAACAAGAGAAATATGAGAGATAAAGTAAATATCTCACCAGTTAGGAACGCTTCCAAAAATTGCAAAGCATTTCTGAGTTCCCATGAACGTCTGCTTGTATTTGATTCTTTTCCAGCTTCCAGATACAGATATCAACACGCCGTCAACTGTGGCCGAATCAGTTGCATTACTACAAGAGACTGGTGACTGACGCTCAACTTCGATAACTACTCCAGATCCACTTTCAAAAGATTTCGTCGCCGAAACATTATTTGTTGTTTGTACATCCACCTCACTATCCAAAACGTCACGCCACTCTAAACAGAAAAATAAAGAATCACCCACCATAACTAAAGTATAGACCCGATAGCTCGACTTAGTGTAATAATTAAAAACACAGTTTTTGGTAGGTTTATAGCCAGCGTTTACGTGTTGACAAGGGCGAATCTAGGGGGGGAGGTCAGAGGGCTCCGAAACCCTCGCCTCTCCTTCAAGCCTTGTCAGACCTTCAAATCCTTTCTAATGATTAGAGATGAGCAGTTTGCTTCGCTTTGCGCTTCAAATATAGTTTGCCCTAAGGTTATTGGTAAGTCCTGGTAAACGACAGAAAGTCAGGTGTCCTTAAGCACTTTCCTACTCTCCATCCCTTCCCACCCACTTTTTCTAGATAAATTTAACTTTGCATTTAGTACAACAAATATATCATGTTAGACATTTTGGTGTGTAGTATCGCTGAGTATTTTTACGACTTGTGCCGTATTTTGACGAGCGCGGAGGGCGAGTCAAACTACAAACAATGAGTCTACTCTAATAAGATATTTATGATCCAACTGCTTTATTAATTTCAAGCGCATTTCTTTAAGAGTAGGAAAAGCGAGGCAGGTAGAGAAGCGTAGTGCGCGTAGCCGACCGGTTAAACAGGCTTAACCAATTGTACAATATCTCAGGATATTTGTACTCGACTCGCACGTTATTCGTACTTTACTTAATGCAGTTGGATAATAAGGCAGAGTATCAAGTCCATTAAACTTACGTCTCCAGCAGAAGTGACCTTTACAAAATGAACGTCTCCAAATCTCTTGGAAAAACCAAGTTCTGGCCATTTAAGGATGTTAGGTCCGTTATATTTCCGACCTCTGTTGAACCAATTTGTAATTTGGGCATCAGTGAGAGAGTTAAACCAGATGTTTAAGTTCGAAATCCTTCCATAGAATGGGGTGTCGTTTGTAATAGTACCGTCATTGCCCTGATTTTGTCCGACGATTACTTGAGTCCACTGAACGTTTTCGTACTTAACTCCGTCGCTGGTCTTTTTTGAACCGAAATTTGCATTTACAATCGCTTCCATTTTAGGTGACTGGTCAGGTTGGATACGAACACAGAGGAAGACCATTTCATCCTTCGGAGAACTGGTAGCGAATACGTTGGAAAGGGAGGTCCTTCAAAAACAAAAACGCAAGTATGTACTTATAGGTAATCTCTTTATCCCCTATAGTACTGAATATAACTGAGTTTATGTAGCTCTTTCGCGTGCGCCGATTGGCTGGTTCGGAAGTGATTAGGAAGTACTACTCACCTCCAAGTGGCCAAAGAGACAAAATAGCGCGTCAAAAATTTAACTGCCGCTCATTTTTTGGTTTGTTGACAGAAATAAGATAGTATTTTTGGTTTCTGTGTGGTATATACTAAAACAATTATTTACGTCAGTGTCAGTGAGTAGTTGTGAACTAACATTGCAACAATCTTACCAAAGGTTACATTATTTTTTCCTTCGCTTTAAACACATACTACTTAACTTAAAAATAAACATTAAAATAAACAGGACGACTGAATGTTGATATACTTGTCTTAAAATCAGCCTTTGAAACAAAAAAATGCCAAGCTAACAGGATCGGCAGGAAAAGTCTTCTCTATTTTAACGACAGAAAAAGCGCTTATAGAAATTGATAACGACAAGGTGAATGATTCTTCTCTGATAATTGTGGATTACAAAAACTCCTTACCTGTCACTTCCAAATGAAAAATAGATGTTGCCTTCTCCGTCGATTCTCAATCTCACAACGTTGTGGCTGCCGCCATTCTTCTCGTTCAAAATACTTATCACAGTCATCTCTTGGCTCTGTTGTAAATCTGGTGTGTGTATCCAGGCACAGACGGTAAAGTGTGAAACCCACTTGTTATTCATATCGTGTTTCACATAGCTCGTATGTTGAGTTTTTCTGAATATAAGCTCAAAGTTTTGGTCATTTTCATTTTGAGGTTGTCCATTGCCTCTATCAAGACTTGCAACAGTTGCTACGAAATGGAAAACAAGTACAACTGTTACATTAAAATTGGGAAGTTTCTGGCCACACTCTTTGCTACTTCGCTTGTTTTCAGCCATCGTTTTTTAAGATTTAATTGAGCTGAGATTTAACGACATTTTGGTAAAATAAATCGTAAATTGGTGCCTTCGTATTCCTTAGTAGGTCTTGTTTCTTCCCCCTCCTCCGCTGCCCCCTCCCCACCCCCCACACATTGCATGCACGTTATTTGTTTGGTTCATTTGGCCCCAGACCTCGCTCTTATAAGGAAACAACTGCGCCGCAAGCTAATATTGATAAGAGGTTTGTGTTGCAAATTGGAGACTTTAAAACTGCACATTATTGACATTTTATTGGCTTTTCTTAATTTGGTAGGGAATACGCGGCATTTGATCATGGTAATGGCATTATAAGGAATGACAGGTTGAGTTCTTGGGATATCTTTGAAATGGGAAAAGTGAAGAGAAAAATGAAGTTTACTATACTCACGGGATGCGTCCGTACTCTGCGCGACGGTTGTTGATTCTGAACAGTTTTTGCCTGTGAATGCATCCGTACAGTTGCATTTGTAGGTTTTTCTACTGGGTACTTCTACACAAGTTCCACCGTTTTTACAAGGATTAGCGTCACAATCTAATGGACGAAAAAAAGTGTATTGAAAGTGGTGAAAATTTCTAAGGATGAATTTTACAGTGAATCGATGTAAAGCAAGATGTAACTTGATAATTAATGCCATTGATGTCTTTTTCTTTTTCGTCATCGTCAGTGATCGTCATCTGTCCTGATCCTGTCCGCATCCCCTCTTTTGAGAGGGAAAAATCGTGGGAGTTATAAACTCTTTACACCCTATCATTAGTATGCATTTCCTCTATACAATAGACAAGAGAGAATTAATTGAATGATCAAGAACTTTTCAAGTTGTCGATCAGTTGCTTTATTTTCATGCCCTCAGAGTTTGAATAAGGGGTGATCTCTGAGGTGAAATAAGCTACCAGGGTTACAATGTTGAGCGTTGAGAGGCAAATGGTGTTAAGGCTCGGTCAACATTGTTGCACGCAGCGTGTTGCACACGTTTGGTCACCCTGTAGCAACATGTTGTTACAAGGTGTAGTAACATTTTGCTCCTTTATAACATCTTACAACGCGATCCAACATTATTGCAAGATGTTGAAATGTTGCGTGCATTTGGCCGCGCCTTTAAGAGCAAGTTTTATACTTACATGTCACGGTCTGCGAACATCTCATGCCACAGGAGTTTTCAGCTCACTGACATTTGAAAGTAATATTACTGGCTATCGTTATAAATGCTCCTTGTGAATTGGCGTATTTGTTGTTAAATCGTATCATGAATTACTATTAAGCATCATGGAATTTGATAAACTTATAAATTAATGTGATCATTGTATATTACATTTTTGTGTGTTCGTTTGTTTTCTGATCGACATTTTCGCCATTGTTTTCTTATCGTCATCGTCCTTGTTATCAACATCATCATCTGAATTGCCACTGTGACGTCACAAACCAAACAATAAGAGTTATGGAGTATTATGGAATAGAAGAAAGGCGTCGTTACAATCAAGAGAAAGCAAAGGCTCGCTGGTGGTCCATTAATTTTCTCTTAGGCTTGAATGTATAAAATATAAAATATGAAGTAAAAACAGTAGAGTGTAATACAAGGGCAGAAGAACCTAAAACTCACCTTTCACTGTGTCACTACAATCAACCAACTCTGCCTGTCCCGTCAAACTGCTATCCAACCAGTGCTTGTTGCTGATGTTGTATTTGCCTTCACTCGCCTCTATTTCCTGGCAAGATATCGCTGGTAATTCAGGTACGGAACCCAAGGGAACTGAAAGATTAAGGGGTATCTTTGAGAAGAAATTTCGTTGCTGTGGTTTGCTCAGCGTCGAGTTTTTGGCATAGAAAAGTCCGACCTCTTTTTCAGCGTCTTTTTTACCGATCTACGATACTGCGGTACTGATCGGGGAAAGATCAAGGCACCCAATGATTTTCAACCAGCAGCTTAATTAAGCTGATCACATACCTCTGCCGACAAAACGTCGCATATAAAACCGTGTAGGGTCAGCGCGGAAATTTAGGGGCCTCGCCTCCTTGGTGCGGTTATTCAATTCGCAGACTTTCTCCCCTATGACGTAGTTAAAACTTTGACATTTGATTTCTCTTTCGCAACGGATATCACATTGACGTGGGGCTGTTACGGATATTACTTTGAAGACGAAACCATCGAGAGCCATACCAGGAATACTGACTTCTGTCTTGCATTGAGCACCAGCCGTCACAAAGGGAGTGAAAGAAGCCAAAATATATAAAAGAAGATATGTCCACGGCATGTTATCTGTGTGCTTAAATTGAATATTTCTCTGTTAAACTCGTAGCAGGGATAAATCAGTCCGACAAGCATAAGCGAAAGCTTGCGCACGCGCCAGAAAAAGTCGCGCACAAATATGTGAAAGGTCACGCACACAAGCTCGAAAAGTCACTTATTAGAGAGCGAAGAGTCACGCACACAAGAGCACAAAGTCGCCCACACAAGAGTGAAAAGTCATGCACGCGTGCGCCAGAAAAAGTCGTGCTCAAATATGTGAAAGATCACGTACACAAGCTCAAAAAGTCACACGCACAAAAGCGAAGATTAACGCTCATAACTGCTAAGAAACACACACACAACAGCGAAAGGTAGCACGCATACGAGAGAAAGAGGCAGCTGCTCTCGTCAGTCTTACGCACGTTCTTGTTTGTTGTAAACGACATGACTGTATGAAGAGTTGCTTAATATCAATTAAGCTAAATTAAAACACTGTGCGTCGTTTAAAAACGCAGTTTGTTATATGAGAATAATTGATGGCTATTGTAAAGGTTTAGCTGTCACTATTATATTTTTCAAGTTAATGCAGTCGTCAAAAACATTAATAAATTATACATAAAGAAAGACGCTATCAACCACTGTTTTATTTTTTTCAAATCGAGAACAGGACTCCACAAATATTTCAAAGGTCCCTCCACTCAGAGAAGCAAATATCAATCAAGAAGTGATTATGCCTTTTACATTTGAATACCTTTAGCATCAACCCAAACAAAGAACGAACTCTTTGTCACCCATAGATTAGAAAAGTATTGGTCACTATTGTCAGATATATCTTTCCTCTCTTTCTCGGTAAAAGGAGAGGGAATCTTGTTATAGTTTTTTTGTGGTTAGCTTGAGGTGTTCGGATTAATTTTTCTTTTCAGTTTATTTTAGCAACAAACACATGAAGGGAATCTAAAAGATTTCTGGTCAAACGCTACCGGAATCAATCCTGTCTTTTTGGAGTGTTTCTTGGTCTTTTGTAACGAGATCTAGCCAAAAACAGTCAAGGAGAACAGGCTTGAATAGCAAGTTGAAACCCCTTTAGTATGTCACCTTTTACTGGAGAAAAAATACGTCTAGCCAAAAACAAGTGATTCACCCTTTTGTATAAAGGACGACGCTCATGCACATTCTAAAAATCCTGCTAAAACTAAAAGGAGATTCCTCTTGAGTTTAGATCATCAAGGACAACAGAATTTTGAGACCTATCGTTAATCCGAAGCAATTTGAGATGAATTTTTCTCCCAACATTTTCCACGCCTTCTAAGAAGACAGATAAGTGATTTCAGTTCTTCATAGCGTTTTTAGCCAACTCGAAACGTAGCTAAAGTCCAGCCATTTTATTTTTTCCTCCTTTCAAAATTTCGGCCCCATCGGTTTTAATTAAAAAAAAAAAACGAGAATACTTCTTGCATTCTCATTGAAAAGCCAAAAAGTTTTTCGTCTACATACCTTTAACCTCCCGCATAAACGCCAGTTCAGAAATCGCTAGCAATAGACATCGGGTTTATTTCAGCGGCAACGGCCCTGAAAGGTGTCGAGTCTTTCTCAGTGTAGACACTGTATGTAGGTAAACTGTCTCTGCAGGTTCTATTTGTTAGGTAATTTCCTTTACTTCCAATGAGGCAAGTAACCTCCTAAATTATTTATAATGTTGATACTTGCAGAAAGTACTCGAAACCCGAGACTATCTATTACTAAGCTAAAGCTATCAGAGAATAATTTTGTTTTCTAACGACTTCAGAGCTTCACTTCGTTTTCTTGGTGAAGAAGACATCTACCTCACCAGACATCATTAATTTGTTTGGAAATTTTTGTGAATTGTTTCATTTTCATTTGAAGACGAGGAGTGCCTAATTAAATTAAACGTTACTGTAGTGACCAAAATAGGCTTTCTTTTCCAGTTTATTCTTATGTTTGTCCTCTGCAGTTACCATTCGCAACAACGCCACCCTCTGCTGGCTAGATTTTCCAAAACGAAAGCAATAGCCCACTTAATTGTAGTTGATAACATATAACCTACATATATCTGCAACTGGACGAATTGGTCTGATGTTTTAATCGAAATAGAAATATGTATTTTATTGATCTCGAACAGGTGTTCTTCCATTGCATAACAAGTATGAGCTCATAAAATACCTTGCTACAGGAGCACCTGCACTGGTGAAGCGGGGAATCCCATTCGACTATCTTCCTTTGCACCCTGGGAGTCCAGAGGTTTCAATTAAAACAATTTTATTCGCTTTATAATGTTTGTTTTCCTTCATCATGTATTATATCTACTGGCGAGGAAAAGTTTCCCATTGCAAAGCTAGTTCAGGAACGATAGTAAAATATTTGTCATTACAATACCTAGCTCTTTTCGTCCATTTTCCCCTATGTGTTCTTTGCTGTTGCTTGTGTGTGTGTGTGTGTAACCTGTTTCGATTTCCTCGAAATTAAAAACATAATAAAGGAATATTTTCTATTCGTGACTAAACAGAAACTGAAAAACTAAATTTTCCATAGGATTCAAGTAATCGCGAACTTGCATTTTCAATGTGCAAAAATTGAGGTCGACAAACATCGGTTTAAGCAGCTTCTATGAAAAAAACTTTCGATCCTGCTTAACAAAACAGCTTTAAAACATATTTAAGCCCTGGTGTGAATGGGGTATTGGTCTCGGTTCAATTGAATAAGCGGATAAGCGAATAAGCGAGTGAAACAACACCCCGAAAGCGGTTCAATGCACTTAATTTCCAACGGATTCTAGCTCAGTGGAGAATTTTTCATTCCAGTGTCGAGAGTAATCTGGAACGGTATTTTTCTACTTTGATTTGCTGTGTGACTGGTCTGACAAAATCTCACGCCAAATTCTTGAGCAGTTACCAAGGAATTAAACCTATAATCACGAATAGAATATGTTGTGCAAACAAGAAGCATTCAAGACGGCGTTGGCACCCGGTACTTGTACTGCGAGTGATATATTAAAAAACCTGGCGCCAGTCTCTTTCGCTCCAAATGTGTCAATGATAACACGTCTTCTGATTTACTTATGTTTGTTTTGTGATTTATCTTTTGTTCGGTTTTTAAAGCACAAGGAAATTCATTCAATGGAATATCCTTCGCCCTAAGAGTCATACCAACAGTTCATACTGCGTCGTTAAAAACACAGTTTCGTCATATGAGAATAATTGATGGCTATTGTAAAGGTTTAGCTGTCACTATTATATTTTTCAAGTTAATGCAGTCGTCAAAAACATTAATAAATTATACATAAAATTTATGACGAGATCTAGCCAAAACAATCGAGGAGAACAGGCTTGAATAGCAAGTTGAAACCCCTCTAGTCTATGTCACCTTTTAATGAAGTAAAAATAAGTCTGGCCAAAAACAAGTGATTCACCCTTTTGTATAAAGGACGACGCTCATGCACATTCTAAAAATCCTGCTAAACTAAGGGAGATTCATCTTAGGTTTAGATCATCAAGTACAACAGAATTATGAGACTTATCGTTAATCCGAAGCAATTTGAGATGAATTTTTCTGCCAACATTTTCCATGCCTTCTAAGAAGACAGATAAGTGATTTCAGTTCTTCATAGCGTTTTTAGCCAACTCGAAGCGTAGCTAAAGTGCAGCCGTTTCATATTTGGTTTACAAAGGGCAGTTCTAGTTATCAGGCAAACAGAACAAAAAACCCATTTTTTTCCTCCTTTCTAAATTTCGGCCAATCGGTTTTAATTAAAAAAAAAAAAAAACGAGAACACTACTCGCATTCTCATTGAAAAGCCAGAAAGTTTTGCATCTACATAAAATACCTCGCTACAGGAGCACCTGCACTGGTGAAGCGGGGAATCTTATTCGATCATCTTCCTTTGCACCCAAGGAGTTCAGAGGTTTCAATTAAAACAATTTTATTCGCTCTATAATGTTTGTTTTCCTTCATCATATATTATATCTACTGGCGAGGAAAAGTTTCCCATTGCAAAGCTAGTTCAGGAAGAATAGTAAAATATTTGTCATTACAATACCTAGCTCTTTTCGTCCATTTTCCCCTATGTGTTCTTTGTTGTTGCTTGTGTGTGTGTGTGTAACCTGTTTCGATTTCCTCGAAATTAAAAACATAAAAAAGGAATATTTTTTATTCGTGACTAAACGGAAAACTGAAAAACTAAATTTTCCATAGGATTCAAGTAATCGCGAACTTGCATTTTCAATGTGCAACAATTGAGGTCGACAAACATCGGTTTAAGCAGCTTCTATGAAAAAAAATTTCGATCCTGCATAACAAAAAACCTTTAAAACATGTTTAAGCCTTGGTGTGAATGGGGTATTGGTCTCGATTCAATTGAATAAGCGGATAAGCGAATAAGCGAGCGAAACAAATCCCCGAAAGCGGTTCAATGCACTTAATTTCCAACGGATTCTAGCTCAGTGGAGAATTTTTTATTCCAGTGTCGAGAGTAATCTGGAACGGTATTTTTCTATTTTGATTTGCTGTGTAACTGGTCTGACAAAATCTCACGCCACATTCTAAAGCAGTTACCAAGGAATTAAACCTATAATCACGAATAGAATATGTTGTGCAAACAAGCAGCATTCAAGACGGCGTTGGCACCCAGTACTTGTACTTCTAGTGATATATTAAAAAACCTGGCACCAGTCTCTTTCGCTCCATCTCTTTATCTTTTGTTCGGTTTTTAAAGCACAAGGAAATTCATTCAATGGAATATCCTTCGCCCTAAGAGTCATACTAACCGTTCATACTGACTCACCATGTGGTGTACCAACATTTGAAACGTGTCTCTTCTGACCATACGACAACGAGGTGGGATTTCAGTGCGAAGAAATTTTATTTGAGCATTTTCTTTGGTAAAACTCCACAAAGAACTTACCTAAAATTAGTGCGAAGGCTAAACTAGTTCCCAGTACCTCCTTCCTTGGTAGAATTTCAATTTACGAGTTTAAATAAAATGAACTAAAAATTTTTAAAACTGCATACTACAAAACCTTGTTCAAAATATTACAGAACACCCAGCATCGTATTCATTAATTCCCCTTTTCGCCTCTAAAGTAAAGTTGGGACATGACTACTTTTAGCCACAGGCTGTTTGTTGTGTCAATTCTTATAATAGATATGAAAAAAACGGCCTTAGAACGAGTGAAAACAAGCTAAATGTAAGATCTTGATCGTCTTCCCTCAACAGTTTGTGTTCATTCGACTATCATTGTCTATAAAATAGCGAGAAGTCTAATTATTTCAATGTGAAGTCATTTTCAGCTCTGCTTCCAGTGCAATTTACAGTCATAGTGCTGATGTGCTTAAAAGGTGATTTAAATGCACAAACTTATCAATTGATCACGGGCTCAAGTCCTAGCCAGTCAAAGGCCCTAAAGGCAGCAACGTGTTTCTTCTCCTTCGAAGCCTTTATTTGGGATGCCACGTGACATTTCTGTCATGACATCACAAGCACCAGCTGGGAGAGGACCGCAACTTGTGTCGCCAATAACAACTTGGATTAGCCAGGACTTGATACAGAATTTTTACTCCAGAACACGAATATCAGAAATCTTGAACTTGAACATCCCACACTTGCCAAAGGTGGATATCCCAGCATTCGACGCGCCGCTCTCCCGTCTCAGACTGACTCCGGCTACAGGTGTATTTTGTTGATTTACCATCCAAAAGTGTTCATCACCGCACAAAGCATTCACACCATCGAAATGATTACCTTGAAAAGAACAGGGAGACAAATCTAATGTAGTACTACAGTGTTTAATCATGAGCATGCTTATTGTTATCATCAATAGCTGAACTCAACGCAGATGTTTTTCCTGTGTATATTAGCACAGTCTTACAGATCACACCACACTGATCTATTTTTGTCCCAAACAAATCGATGTAACGGTGAGACTTTGGATCCAAGGAGACGCCAAGTGTGGTGCGGACACAAGAGTCGTTAAATAATGTTACTACAAATGAAGCATTCGCCAAATGCAACCTATACCCTTAAATTCATAAATTTATCAGCGCCATAACTCTGCTGTATTCCTTTCCTTAACGAGGAAAGGAGAGAGGGCTTTAAATAGTTTCATATTTTCTCGCTGCAAGCTTTTTTTATGGAGACCCCCAAAAATTGCGTATAGACTTTTGATAACCATTAATAGCATATATACTGTTAGTAACCATATACTTTAAAATTTAACCCTATAGCATCCATAATATAATCTGTCTTCTAGTTTTGTTGAAGAGACGTGCGGGAAAAAAAAGCTTCGCTTTTATGCGAGCTTCGCTTTTAGGCTTGCCTAAATCTATATATTATATCACATGGTGAAGTTCCATCGTCACTTTTGAACACTTTCGTAATTTAAATCTGACAATTGAAGGAAGAAACTTACTAAAGAAAATTATTTTAGGCCCATGAGGCACACTTCCTTAAGTGACGTTACCAGTTAACTTTGAATCCCTTACAAGACTTTTTAGATACGTTTATTACCATTTGGGCCAAGATATTCTTCTTTCCAAAGTTCATCCAAATCAAGGTCGAATTCCGAAACACCGGGAGTGAATATACTAGCGGCCCTGTAATGATGAAAGAATTAACCATGGATTGTTACTTATCCAAAAAGTTCCTTTGGCCGAAATAAAAAAGTCACTGCTTTGTTTAAATAACGATACAGCTTGATACAAGTTTTGATACACTTGTTTTCCTGTATTTGACGCCAAATACGTAAATTGAGTCCTCTATAGCGCGTTATTTTTGTCTTTCTCCAGATAATGTTATGATTGCTTTTTCTCAGGGCTTTAAAACCCTGAATTGAAGCGTTCGAAATAAACGAGGTTGACAGACAGAAAACCCAGTGCTTTTCCAAAACTGCTGTTCGCAAATCCATAAATGACAGAGATGTTTCCTCACACACTATAAGACACAATAATTTGGTGCTCTGATCTTTTAAGGGCTTTTGTAAGGTTTAGAATTAATGAATCCCAAAGTATCCCCACCCTCCCCTTCCCGCGAATTTCCACATGGACCATACTTACAAGAGAAATATGAGAGATGAAGTAAATATCTCACCGTTTACGAACGCTCCCAAAAATTGCAAAACATTTCTGAGTTTCCATGAACGTCTGCTTGTATTTGATTCGTTTCCAGCTTCCAGATACAGATATCAACACGCCGTCAACTGTGGCCGAATCAGTTGCATTACTACAAGAGACTGGTGACTGACGCTCAACTTCGATAACAACTCCAGATCCACTCTTAAAAGATTTCGTCGCCGAAACATTACTTGTTGTTTGCACATCCACCTCACTATCCAAAACGTCACGCCACTCTAAACAGAAAAATAAAGAATCACCCCCCATAACTAAAGTATAGACCCGATAGCTCGACTTAGTGTAATAATTAAAAACACAGTTTTTGGTAGGTTTATAGCCAGCGTTTACGTGTTGACAAGGGCGAATCTAGGGGGGGAGGTCAGAGGGCTCCGAAACTCTCGCCTCTCCTTCAAGCCTTGTCAGACCTTCAAATCCTTTCTAATGATTAGAGATGAGCAGTTTGCTTCGCTTTGCACTTCAAATAGAGCTTGCCCTAGGGTTATTGGTAAGTCCTGGTAAACGACAGAAAGTCAGGTGTCCTTAAGCACTTTCCTACTCTCCATCCCTTCCCACCCACTTTTTCTAGATAAATTTAACTTTGCATTTAGTACAACAGATATATCATATTAGACATTTTGGTGTGTAGTATCGCTGAGTATTTTTACGACTTGTGCCGTATTTTGACGAGCACGGAGGGCGAGTCAAACTACAAACAATGAGTCTACTCTAATAAGATATTTATGATCCAACTGCTTTATTAATTTCAAGCGCATTTCTTTAAGAGTAGGAAAAGCAAGGCAGGTAGAGAAGCGTAGTGCGCGTAGCCGACCGGTTAGACAGGCTTAACCACTTGTACAATATCTCAGGATATTTGTACTCGACTCGCACGTTATTCGTACTTTACTTAATGCAGTTGGATAATAAGGCAGAGTATCAAGTCCATTAAACTTACGTCTCCCTGCAGAAGTGACCTTTACAAAATGAACGTCTCCAATCCTGGAAGAAGAACCAAGTTCTGGCCATTTAAGAATGTTAGGTATGTAATTTTTCTGAACTTCGTTGTACCAATTTGTAATTTGGGCATCAGTGAGAGAGTTAAACCAGATGTTTAAGTTCGAAATCCTTCCATAGAATGGGGTGTCGTTTGTAATAGTACCGTCATTGCCCTGATTTTGTCCGACGATTACTTGAGTCCACTGAACGTTTTCGTACTTAACTCCGTCGCTGGTCTTTTTTGAACCGAAATTTGCATTTACAATCGCTTCCATTTTAGGTGACTGGTCAGGTTGGATACGAACACAGAGGAAGACCATTTCATTCTTCGGAGAACTGGTAGCGAATACGTTGGAAAGGGAGGTCCTTCAAAAACAAAAACGCAAGTATGTACTTATAGGTAATCTCTTTATCCCCTATAGTACTGAATATAACTGAGTTTATGTAGCTCTTTCGCGTGCGCCGATTGGCTGGTTCGGAAGTGATTAGGAAGTACTACTCACCTCCAAGTGGCCAAAGAGACAAAATAGCGCGTCAAAAATTTAACCGCCGCTCATTTTTTGGTTTGTTGACAGAAATAAGATAGTATTTTTGGTTTCTGTGTGGTATATACTAAAACAATTATTTACGTCAGTGTCAGTGAGTAGTTGTGAACTAACATTGCAACAATCTTACCAAAGGTTACATTATTTTTTCCTTCGCTTTAAACACATACTACTTAACTTAAAAATAAACATTAAAATAAACAGGACGACTGAATGTTGATATACTTGTCTTAAAATCAGCCTTTGAAACAAAAAAATGCCAAGCTAACAGGATCGGCAGGAAAAGTCTTCTCTATTTTAACGACAGAAAAAGCGCTTATAGAAATTGATAACGACAAGGTGAATGATTCTTCTCTGATAATTGTGGATTACAAAAACTCCTTACCTGTCACTTCCAAATGAAAAATAGATGTTGCCTTCTCCGTCGATTCTCAATCTCACAACGTTGTGGCTGCCGCCATTCTTCTCGTTCAAAATACTTATCACAGTCATCTCTTGGCTCTGTTGTAAATCTGGTGTGTGTATCCAGGCACAGACGGTAAAGTGTGAAACCCACTTGTAATTCATATCGTGTTTCACATAGCTCGTATTTTGAGTTTTTCTGAATATAAGCTCAAAGTCATAGTCATTTCCATTTTGAGGTTGTCCATTGCCTCTATCAAGACTTGCAACAGTTGCTACGAAATAGAAAACAAGTACAACTGTTACATTAAAATTGGCAAGTTTCTGGCCACACCCTTTGCTACTTCGCTTTTTTCAGCCATCGTTTTTTAAGATTTAATTGAGCTGAGATTTAACGATATTTCAGTAAAATAAATCGTAAATTGGTCTCTTCGTATTCCTTAGTAGGTTTTGTTTCTTCCCCTCCTCCGCTGCCCCCTCCCCACATATTGCGTGCACGTTATTTATTTGGTCCATTTGGCCCCAGACCTCGCTCTCATAAGGAAACAACTGCACTGCAAACTAATATTGATAAGAGGTTTGTGTTAGACATTGAATGTTTTAAAACTGCACATTATTGACATTTTATTGGCTTTTCTTATTTTGTTAGGGAATAAGCGGCCTTTGGCCATTATTTTTATTGGCTTTTCTTAATTTGGTAGGGAATACGCGGCATTTGATCATGGTAATGGCATCATAAGGAATGACAGGTTGAGTTCTTGGGATATCTTTGGAATGGGAAAAGTGAAGAGAAAAATATGAAGTTTACTATACTCACGGGATGCGTCCGTACTCGGCGCGACGGTTGTTGATTCTGAACAGTTTTTGCCTGTGAATGCATCCGTACAGTTGCATTTGTAGGTTTTTCTACTGGGTACTTCTACACAAGTTCCACCGTTTTTACAAGGATTAGCGTCACAATCTAATGGACGAAAAAAAGTGTATTGAAAGTGGTGAAAATTTCTAAGGATGAATTTTACAGTGAATCGATGTAAAGCAAGATGTAACTTGATAATTAATGTCATTGATGTCTTTTTCTTTTTCGTCATCGTCAGTGATCGTCATCTGTCCTGGCCGCATCCCCTCTTTTGAGAGGGAAAAATCGTGGGAGTTATAAACTCTTTACACCCTATCATTAGTATGCATTTCCTCTATACAATAGACAAGAGAGAATTAATTGAATGATCAAGAACTTTTCAAGTTGTCGATCAGTTGCTTTATTCTCATGCCCTCAGAGTTTGAGGGGGGATCTCTGAGGTGAAATAAGCTGACAGGGTTACAATGTTGAGCGTTAAGAGGCAAATTGTGTTAAGGCTCGGTCAACATTGTTGCGCGCAGCGTGTTGCACACGTTTGGTCACCCTGTAGCAACATGTTGTTACAGGGTGTAGCAACATTTTGCTCCTTTATAACATCTTACAACGCGATCCAACATTATTGCAAGATGTTGAAATGTTGCGTGCATTTGGCCGCGCCTTTAAGAGCAGGTTTTATACTTACATGTCACGGTCTGCGAACATCTCATGCCACAGGAGTTTTCAGCTCACTGACATTTGAAAGTAATATTACTGGCTATCGTTATAAATGCTCCTTGTGAATTGGCGTATTTGTTGTTAAATCGTATCATGAATTACTATTAAGCATCATGGAATTTGATAAATTGATAAATTAATGTGATTCATTGTACATTTTTGTGTGTTCGTTTGTTTTCTGATCGCAATTTTCGCCATTGTTTTCTTATCGTCATCGTCCTCGTTATCAACATCATCATCTGAATTGCCACTGTGACGTCACAAACCAAACAATAAGAGTTATGGAGCATTATGGAATAGAAGAAAGGCGTCGTTACAATCAAGAGAAAGCAAAGGCTCGCTGGTGGTCCATTAATTTTCTCTTAGACTTGAATGTATAAAATATAAAATATGAAGTAAATACAGTAGAGTGTAATACAAGGGCAGAAGAACCTAAAACTCACCTTTCACTGTGTCACTACAATCAACCAACTCTGCCTGTCCCGTCAAACTGCTATCCAGCCAGTACTTGTTGCTGATGTTGTATTTGCCTTCACTCGCCTCTATTTCCCGGCAAGATATCGCTGGTAATTCAGGAATGGAACCCAAGGGAACTGAAAAATTAAGGGGTATCTTTGAGAAGAAATTTCGTTTCTGTAGTTCGCTCCATGTCATCTCGCCGCCCAAAAAAGTCTGAACATTTTTGTGATTACATCTTTATCATTATCATAAGAAGGGCGTTGGTACTGGTGGGTGATTCATCAAGACACCGAAGTAAACTAACTGTCAGAAATCATTAAAACTGATCACATACCTCTGTCTACGGAACATCGCTTATAAAATCGTTCAGGGTCAGGACGGAAATTCAGGGGCCTCGCCTCCTTGGTACGGTTATTCAATTCGCAAATCCTCTCCCCTACGACGTAGTTATAGCTTTGACATGTGATTTCTCTTTCGCAATGGACTTCACACTGATGTGGGGCTGTTGCTGACATTATTTTGAAGACAAAACCATCAAGAGCCATACCAGGAATACTGATTTCTGTCCGGCATTGAGCATCAACCATAACGAGGGCGGTAAAAGATGCCAAAAGATGTAAAATACAATATGTCCAAGTCATGTTACCTGTGTTTTGAAATTAAACGTATCTTAGTTGAGCTCATAGTGGGAATAAATTAGTTGCAAAACCAGAGGAAATTATCGTGCTCGCGAGCAAAAACCTAAGCACGCACCAGTGAAAAGTCACGCGTATACGATCAAACAGTCATGCGTACCCGAGCAGAAAGTCACGCGCACTCGAGCGAAAGATACCGCCCACACGAGCAGAAGGTCTCGCGCACACGAGCGAAAGTCATGCGTTCACGAGAGAGAAAGAGATTAAAAGGACAGCTGTTCTTTCGCACCGTCAGATATTCATCAAGAATATTCGGTAATAAATTATACATCAAGAGAAAGATGCTTCCAACTTCTGGTTTCTTTTCAATCAAGAATACTGCTGCGAGAGTATTAATCAATTCCATCCGATCAAACAAGTAAATATAAACCAAGAAGTAGAGTACTTGCTTTCATTGACGCGTTTTAAGCTTCGATATCACTAGCATTAGCCTTATGTTGACCTGTATACAGTCGATAGATTTCAAGTAAATTGGTCACCATTGTCTGATAAATTCTCCTTCTCTTTTTAGACGAAAGTGGAAGGAAAATAATTGAAATTTGTGTAAGATCAGTTCGCGGGTCAATTCTGGGCGGGAAAAAAGACGAAGTTAGGGAGAGGTGCCCGTTTATTTAGCACTCAACAAACTGATAAAGAACGAAAAGATCTCGAGTAATATGCTACGTTTATGTATGGGAGTGTTGTTTTGGTCTTTCATGACGAATAAAATATCAAAAGAGAATGGACACGGATAGCAACCGAAGTTGAAAATCTTTTTACATAACAGTAAAAAAATAACATTTCTGGCCAAAAACATTGATCGACCCTTTATATTTAGGACAACGGCCACATTCCAAAAATCCTATAGAAAAAAAGGAAATTTCTCCTAAGTCTAAATTATCAAACATAACAGAATTGTGATTCTTTTTGCTAATCCTTAGCAAATTTGTAGTGAAATTATAACCCAAAATGTTCCTCACCTTCCAAGATGTCAGAAAACTGTATTCAGTCCTTCATAGCTTATTTAGCCAATTCTACGTGTAGCTTCAATCTAAGGGTCTTTCGTTGTATCTTTAGCCGACTGATTGCACTTATAGCTTCCTAGCAAACAGATGGAAAAACGGATTGTTTTTTCTCTTGTTTAGATTTCACCCCAGTCGGCTTTTGGTATTTATTTCCTTACTTTAAACCACTAGAATATTAACTGCATTCTCATTTCTTTGAATAGCCGGAAAGTTTTTCATCTCTATACCATTGATCTCCTGCATAAATACCAGTCTAGAAATTACTAACAATAGAAGGCAGGTGTTTAAAAGTAAACACTAATGTTAGATGAACATTCCCTACAGGTTTTGCTAGGAAATTAGAAGTATATTTATGAGGTAATTTCCTGTGTAACCAATGAGGCGAAGCTGTTCCTAAAGTATTCATGTTGTTGAGACTTACAGAAAACACTCGAAACTCTCGTATAACCCCAAAAGCTATCAGAGAGTACTTCTGTTTTCTAAACAACTTTCACTCCGCAGAATAACATTTTCAACATCCCACCTCGTTGATTGTTTTAAAATTTCCGAGAATCTTTTTAATTTCATTTGAAGACAGAAAGTGCCTAATGAGATTAAAACTTGCTGTAGCGAACAAAAAGCTCCATCTTTCAAATTATTACGTATGTTGTCCTTCACAGTTACCCTTAACTGCAGCGGCTCTATTTGAAGGCTATAGATTTCCCAAATCGAAAGCAATATCTTACTACATAGTATTCGGTAAAATATCACCTTTATTTATCTAAAACTGAACGAATTACTCTGATGTTTTAATCGAATTAGTTATATATTTCATTGTTCCCTTAATGCCGAACAGGTGTTCTTACATTGCATGACAAGGACGACCTGATAACATACCTCGCTACAAGAGCACTAAGACCAGTGAAGCACCCTAAAGGTCCCCAGAGGTTTCAATTAAAACGCTTTTTTTCGCTTTATTGTGTTTATTTTCCCTTGTCATCAAAGAATTCTACCGGCGGGGAAAATTTCCTATTGCAAAGCCAGCTCAAGAAGAACAATAAAATATCAGTAATATTAAGACCTCTTTTCGTCCATTCTTTTCCCTATATGTTCTTCGCTGTTCCTTGTGCGTGTGGTAGCCACTGAAGAAACTCGAGTAAACAAAACTAAACGTTGCGTATAAACTGTTTCGTTTTCCTCGAAAAACATAAAAAAGGAATATTTTCTTATCCGTGACTCTCTCGGTCTCATTTCAATCGAATAATCGAATAAGCGCGCGAAAAAACACCCCGAAAGCGGCTCAATGCGCTTAATTTCCAGCGGATTCTAGCTCAGTGGAGAAATTTTCATTTGAATGTCGAGAGTAATCTGGAATGGTAATTTTCTATTTTCATTTGCTATGTCACTGATCTGGCAGAATCTAACTAAATTAATTATAGTTGATAACATATAACCTCTATATATCTGCAAATGTAAGAATTGGTCTGATGTTTTAATCGAAATAAAAATATATATTTCAATAATCTCGAACAGATGTTCTTACATCGCGTGACAAGTATAAGCTCATAAAATACTTCTTTTGCACCCTGGGAGTCCAGAGGTTTTAATTAAAACAGCTTTATTCGCTTTATAATGTTTATCTTCCTTTATTATATATTATATCTACTGACGAGGAAAATTTTCCCATGGCAAAGCTAGCTCAGGAAGAAGAATAAAATATTTGTCATTTTCTTCCATTTTTTCCCTATGTGTTCTTTGCTGTTCCCTGTGTATGTGTGTAAACTGTTTCGTTTCCTCGAAAAACATAAAGAAGGAATATTTCCTTATCCGTGACTCTCTTGTATCTCATTCACACCAGCAAACTATGCTTGGTTAAACCGGGTTTTACTAAATGAAAATCATAAACAGAGAATTGAAGAGCTCTATTTTCCATAGGATTAAAGTACTCGCTGACTTGATTTTTTTTTATGTGCAACAACTGAAGTCGACAAACATCGGTTTAAGTAGCTTCTATTTAGAAAACAACTTTCGATCTTGTTTAACAAAGCAGCTTCAAAACATGTTTAAGCCTTGTATTGGTCTCGGTTCAATCAAATTAGCAGATAAGCGAATAAGCGAGCGAAATAACACCCCGAAGAGGTTCAAGGCGCTTAGTTTCCCGCGGATTCTTACTCAGTGGAGAATTTTTCTTTAGAGTGTCGAGAGTAATCTGTAATCCGGTATTTTTCTATTTTGAGTTTCTATATGACTGGTCTGGCAAAATCTCACACCACATTCTCAAGCAGTTACCAGGGAAATAAAACTATGGTCATGAATTGGATATATTTTGGAAACAAGCAGCATTCAAGGCGGCGTTAGCACCCAGAACTTGTACTTCGAGTGATATATTAAAAAACTTGGCACCAGTCCCTGTCGTTCCAAACGTGCCAATGATAACACATCTTCTGATTCACTCATGTTTGTTTTCTGATTTATCTTCTGTTTGGTCTTTAACGCATAAGTAACTTCATTTAATGGAATACCCTGCGCCCTTGGTGTACCAGCATTTGAAACGTGTCTTTTCTGACCATACGACAACTAAGAGGGTTTTCAGTGCGAAGTAATTTTATTTCGGCATTTTTTTTGGTAACAATCCACAGACAAGTTACCTATAATAAGTGCGAAGGCTAAACTAGTTCCCAGTACCTCCTTCCCTGGTAGAATTTCAACACGAGTGTAAACAAAATTTTTTGGAATGAATGAACTACAAACTTTTAACATTACATACCATAAACCTTGTTCAAAATATTACAACGGCAGTACAACACCCAGCAACTTATTCATATATTCCCCTTTTCGCCTCTAAAGTGAAGTGAGAACATAACTACTTCTAGCCACAGGCTGTCTGTTGTGTTAATTCTTATAATTAGACGTGAAAAAAACGGCCTTAGAACGAGTGAAAACAAGCTAAATGTGGGATCTTGATCGTCTTCCCTCAACAGTTTGTGTTCATTCGACTATCAGTGTCTATAAAATAGCAAACACTCTAATTATTTCAACGTAAAGTAATATCCAGCTCTGCTTCTTATGCAGTTTACTGTCATAGTGCTGTTGTGCTTAAAAGGTGATTTAACTGCACAAACTTATCAATTAATCGCAGGCTCAAGTCCTAGCCAGTCAAAGGTGCTAAAGGCAATTACGTGTTAATTCTCCTTCGAAGCCTTTGTTTGGAATGCCACGTGACATTCTGTCATGACATCACAAGCATCAGCTGGGAGAGGACCGCAACTTGTGTCGCCAATAACAACTTGGATTAGCCAGGACTCGATACAGAATTCTTATTCTAGAACACGAATATCAGAAATCTTGAACTTGAACATCCCACACTTGCCAAAGGTGGATATCCCGGCAATCGCCCTGCCGCTCTTTCGTCTAAGACTGACTCCGGCTACCGGAGTATTTGGTTGATTTACCATCCAAAAGTGTTCATCACCGCACAAAGCATTCACGCCATCGAAATGATTACCTTGAAAATAACATGGAGACAAATCTAATGTAGTATTACAGTGTTTAATCATCAGCATGCTTATTCAGTGTTATCATAAATATCTGAACTCTACACAGATGTTTTTCCTGTGTATATTAGCACAGTCTTACAGATCACACCACGATGATCTATTTTTGTCCAAAACAAATTGATGTAACGGTGAGACTTTGGAGCAAAGGAAACGTCGAGTGAGGTTCGGACCCAAGAGTCATCAAATAATATAACTACAAGTGAAGCATTCGCCAAATACAAACTAGTCCTGTTATTGATAAGTTTTTCAGTGCCTTAACTCTGCTGTATTCCTTTCCTTGTAGAAGTGAGGAGAGAGGGCTTTAAACAGTTTGATATTATATATCACATGGTGAAGTTCTATCGTCATTTTTGAACGGTTTCATAATTTAAATCTGAGAATTAAGGGAAAAACTTACTAAAGCAAATTATTTTAGGCTGATAAGGCACACCTCCTTAAGTGACGTTACCAGTTAACTTTAAATCCCTTACAAGGTTTATTAGATGCGTTTGTTACCGTTTGGGCCAAGATATTCTTCTTTCCAAAGTTCATCCAAATCAAGGTCGAAATCCAAAACACGGGGATTGAATATACCAGAGGCCCTGTGGTGATGAAAGAATTAACCAAGGATTGTTACTTGGGCAAAAAGTTCTTTTGGCCGAAATAAAAAAGTCACTGCTTTGTTCAAGTAACGACACAGCCTGAAATTCCCCTGTTTTCCCGCGTTTGACATCAAAAACGTAAACTGAGTCCTCTATGACACGTTATTTTTGCTTTTCTCTAGATAATGTTGTACTTGCTTTTTCTCAGGGCTTTAAAACACGTAAATTGAAGCCGTTCCAAATAAATGAGGTTGACAGCCAGAAAACCCAGTGACTTTCCAAAACTGCAAGTTCATGAAATACACAGATGTTTCCTCACTCAATATAAGAAAAAATAGTTCGAGGAGGGGTTGGGGAATGGAAAATTGAATTCGCGAAACAATTCCATGCACAGCGAGTTCCTTAGATAGAAAGAAAGTTGGCACACTGACCTTTCAAAGTCTTTTTCAAGGTTTATTAATGAATACCAAAGTATCCCCACCCTCCCCTTCCCGCGACTTTCCAGGTGGACGATACTAACAAGAGAAATATGAGAGATAAAGTAAATATCTCACCAGTTAGGAACGCTTCCAAAAATTGCAAAGCATTTCTGAGTTCCCATGAACGTCTGCTTGTATTTGATTCTTTTCCAGCTTCCAGATACAGATATCAACACGCCGTCAACTGTGGCCGAATCAGTTGCATTACTACAAGAGACTGGTGACTGACGCTCAACTTCGATAACTACTCCAGATCCACTTTCAAAAGGGCTCATCGCCGAAACATTATTTGTTGTTTGTACATCCACCTCACTATCCAAAACGTCACGCCACTCTAAACAGAAAAATAAAGAATCACCCACCATAACTAAAGTATAGACCCGATAGCTGGACTTAGTGTAATAATTAAAAACACAGTTTTTGGTAGGTTTATAGCCAGCGTTTACGTGTTGACAAGGGCGAATCTAGGGGGGGAGGTCAGAGGGCTCCGAAACCCTCGCCTCTCCTTCAAGCCTTGTCAGACCTTCAAATCCTTTCTAATGATTAGAGATGAGCAGTTTGCTTCGCTTTGCACTTCAAATAGAGCTTGCCCTAAGGTTATTGGTAAGTCCTGGTAAACGACAGAAAGTCAGGTGTCCTTAGGCACTTTCCTACTCTCCATCCCTTCCCACCCACTTTTTCTAGATAAATTTAACTTTGCATTTAGTACAACAGATATATCATATTAGACATTTTGGTGTGTAGTATCGCTGAGTATTTTTACGACTTGTGCCGTATTTTGACGAGCGCGGAGGGCGAATCAAACTACAAACAATGAGTCTACTCTAATAAGATATTTATGATCCAAC